AATTAAAGCATAAATCTTTACTGAAAGAGCAGTAAATATTTTACGTCTTTTCTAATAATATGGCATGTGAACCTTTTTTTTCTCACATATGCAGCTAAGATGTGTCATTCATTGACAACAGCTGCCTCAGGGTTAAAAGTATCAGCGCTGGCGCTAAACTAGCTAAAGCTGGATACAAACTGAACCAGGACCTTCACTATCATTCTGATCAAAATCTTTTTACAGCATTTACTTCCAAAATGTTTGATCAACTTTAACCATTGATGAAAATTATGGCTCACTATAAGTAAAATTATTTTTGAGTCTAACATTTAATACACCCCAGTCTTTTAAAACTGTTATCAACTTGTCATAGTAATTGATCAAATTCAGGTCATCTCGTGCATCCATTGCCTTCATGTGTTTCTTTTTCCCTTATTTATGTAAACATTATTATTATTCTCTGAAATAAAGCAATATTTTAAATGAATCTTTATGCACAGTTTGTGTTTCTTGATCAATTTAATAGCAGAGACTCATCACTGCCTTTAGACAGATCTGGAAAACTTCATGTTTCTGTATTTATTAATATGAGCTGACAAAAAAAAAAAAACAAGTGCAATACAATTTAAGCAGTTCGGCAAGGCTTAGTGTTTTAAGTTGACTTATATTATAACAAGTTTGATAAAAGGTTTATATGTACCAGAGTTACCAAATATACTACACTTGCTAGTTAGTTATTAATTAAATCATGATTTACAGTCTACTTGTTTTGTAAATAAAAATTTTAGAGTTGAGTGTGAGCACAAAGCTACATTAGACATGACCAACATCTCATTAGTTTAAAGCAACTTAGAATTATATTTCTCTAATCTTCAGAAACATAAATGATGATGTTATTGCAACAGGGCTGCGGTGTCACTTGTCATATTAATGGCTCTTCTTTAACGAGTTGGCTGTAGGCCACAAACATGCACATAAACAGTATAAATCTAATGTTGAGTATCACATTACATGTATCGCCGGTCAGCAGGGCTAATTACACAATAATGAAGCCAGTCAGGAGTTAAACAGGAGAAACATTCACACAAGATGCTGTAATCCTGCTAAAGCCTCCCACCTATCCTTCTTTATGAGCTTAAATAGGCCCCAGGGGGCCATTACAAAGCAACAAGGACAACCGCAGTCCACTCCCAGGAGAGGAGCTCTGAACCTGCAGGGAGCCCTGAAATAAACTGAAGGTGTTTGGGATTGGAAACTGGTCAGGAATCGGTGTATCCCGTCAGTCAGTGCAAATGTTGTCAGAGCAGAAATCACTCCTTGTATTTCTGATGCAAACAGGTGTGTTATATTCATGATGCATGAATATAACATAACAGCAGCACCAAGTCATTTGTGACCTTGAACACTAGAAAACTGCTGGTTAAATTACAACTAATTATCATAATGTTTAATGAAGAAACATAATGATAATATGTTTTTGTTTAGTTAGTTAATTAGTTATAGTGATGATGACAATTATTATTCCTGTAATGAATTGAAGATTGATCTTGAAGGAATGGATGTAGGACCATTTTTTTATTTTCTTTTAATTTTTTTTTACTGATTTTAAAAACAAATTGAAAAGGGCAAAAGCAAACATACACTCAAATATGTGCTGTACATATACAGCCTACTAACAACGGAAAAGTGCTGTAGAATAATTTATTAAATAATTTCTTGGTCTTATTTTGTAATCAGAATATTTGTGCCTTACGTGACTGTGAGTAATGGCTAGTAACTGAAAATTTATTATGTGAATATTTTTTATTGTATTTTTGTATAATAACTTCAAGTATGTTTTTTTTTTTTATCAAATATATTATTTTAAAAAAATAAAGAAACTACAACTGGTCAGTAATAGTGACTAGATTTTCGCCAGTGGACTCAATTAGTTTTATCTGAAAACTAATTTAGTTTTAGTGAGTTTAGGCTGGGCCACTAATGTTCACCTAAAACTGATGAATGTGCTAAACAAAAAGGAAACAGAGTGATCTGAAATGTACACGTTCAAACAGCTTTAATCTTAACTGCCAGGTCTCAGTTTGAAACCTTCCATTCTGACAATAATCATAAAATAAGGCTCCCATCAGTCATTTCTGTCTGGGTCCAAAATTCCAATCAGAACCAGCTCGGAGCCATATATAAACCCTGAGCGTCAGCGGTGAGGACGGTGTCTCACATGGACGGGGTTGTAGTGGCCAATAAGAACCCAGGGCGCGCTGACGTGAAGGGGCGCCGGAAGTGGAGAACATGCGCACCTGCGTGTCTGAGCCAATGAAACCACTTCAATGTGCTAGAGAGCAAGTTTAAAAGAAGACATTCACCTTTCGACGTCACTTAACCTGTTGGGACTCTCGAGCAAACGTGAGATCGAAAACGTCACTTCATCTATTTGACGTAAAAAGAAGAAAATCTAAATTCGTAATGTTTTTACTTCAGACTAATTGTTTTTAGATTTTGCACCTGTTATCTTTCCCCGACTGATCCATATTTTTCTCAAACGTTGTAAAGCTGCTAAATGTAACCGAGGTCCGGACCGTTCAGCTGACATGGAGTCACATTGCAGCAGCCCTGTCCTCCATCAGACTCCTTCAGCAGCCGCGCTGTTTCACAGAGGAAACCGGCCGCTTTAGGCTTTAGGGCTGGAAACAAAAAACACACACTGCAGCAGCAGAGGCTGCACGGCGGTGCGCGGTGACAGCGGCCTCCACACAGTAAACATAATTTATTTATCAAGATTACGTCGACTTGCTGATTGGTCTCAAATTCCCTGCAACTCTTTTAAATGTCCTGAATTTTCAAGGGATTTTGAAACAAACTTCAGCACCAGTTTAGATTAGGAAAAACACCATCAACGTCAAATAATCTCCTTTACGTTAAGGATGAACTCGTCCTTGATGTAAAGTAGATTATTTGTCTTTCTTTTGTTGTACCAAGCTGTAAGGCACACAAAATATTTTTTTCTTTGTTGTGCTTTCTCCTTTTTTCCCTTTTTTCTCTTTTTGTGCAAATAAAAAGGATAACTAGGTGTAATGATGAGCTGCGGCTGCGCAAACGACAGCTTATCTATTAAGATTCTTACCGCAGCTGTTTGTTGTATTTGTTAGAGCTCTTTTTTTTTTTTTTTTTTTTTTTTCCATTTCCGCCTGAGGATGATCTGGATCTGGATTGAAGTAATTTTGCCATGCAGGGAATTGATTTAGTGATTAACCTGAGCACGGCTGTTGAAATGAGAGGTTGGATTTTCCTGAGCTGGTGGACAAAAACACACATTTGGCTCTTTTGATTATTGTTATTTCTGTTATTAGCTTTTGGAAGGTTTGTGAATTTGCAAAGCGGGGGGCGGAGGGGGATCGAAATTAAAATAATTTGCTTTTCTGATGAATCATCCCCGCCGACAGGATGACACCCAAACGAAATCAGTTGAGAAGTGAACGGACGTCAAGCAGCACATTATAACGCGAGAAGGCCGTTCTGATGGGAGGTTAAAGCGAAGCGAATCTTCCAATTAAATCCATCAAGAGCTGGTGATTGATGATGTCAACCTTTCTGCTTCTAATTAACGTTCAAATTAGACCAAAGGGTGAAAAAACACTAAGTAGCTCCACAAAACATTTAAAAGATAATGATTTAAGAAGAAGAAGAAGAAAAAAAATAAAACACTGGAAGTCCGTGCGGAGGTTATGCAGGTTTGTCTTTTGAAAGATTCCTCTTAAATGTTCAATATTATTGACCTTTCTGTAAGTCTCCAGGATTAATGTTCAGATAGAAAATAAACAATAAAATATGACACTTTAACAACTATCCAGGTTAAAATAAATAAATACTTGTCTAAATTCGGGGATTAAAAATATTCACTTTTTTTTATTTAATCCATACAACAGAAATAATCTCTTCTCCTAAACTTTGCTCATACAAACTTACCTCCCTTCCCGTTTCATCTAATTTCAAATTCAAGTCAAAAAGTGTCCGCTGAAATTAGCCTCACTCTGATATTAACATCATTTCATTCTCCCGGAACTTTCTCCAAGACGATACGCGTTTCTCTCCAAATTCCCTCTAACTGAATTTATCCCCGCAAGCTCCTGCTCGTTATGGAGAAATATGTATTCAAAGCAGCCTCAGAGGGTGGACCTCCACGGCTGATAATAGAATTTCCTGCTGTTTTACAACTCCGTCCCTAAACCAGTGTCACCATATGCTGCTGTTGGCACAAGACTCTCCGCAGTGGCTTCATGAGCGGCAGCCTCCTCCCGGCAGCGTTGGAAATAAATAAAACAAGTTTGCATTCTCAGTTAGTGTTTCTTTAATTTAACCTTTTGGCAGGAAATTATGATTTAGTGTTGTCATATTTTACCTAATTTTGTTTTGAAGGGGTTTATAAAAGGTACTGACATAAAATTTTGTACTTTTTTGTTTACATAAAAAGCTTACTCACAGCTTCTGCTGAATTTTTTTTATTTAAACGAATCTAAATCCAAACGGAAGAGAATAAACCAAACGCACCTGACAGAAAACAATGTGCGTTTCCTCCGGACAGACATACCTGCTGATCTCTCCCGTGCGTCCAAGCGCGGCTCTCTCTAATCGCTTTCCTTTTTCTGACTTCCTTTCAGAAAATTCAGTCTGCGTCGTCAGACTGGAAGCCATAGCACGGCGTCACCTTTATTACTCGCTTATTTCACGCTACCGCATATTGAGTTACACTGGATTCCACCTGCGGGGACACACTGGAGCATGGCTGAAATACCGGGAGTAAAATAACCCATCTCACACAAAACGGGAAAACCAAAAACAATAAGATTTGTATTTTCCCCTCCTACTTCATATTCGTTTGAATTAATTTAAATTTGTTGCCTCAGATGATTTTTCCAGAGATTTATAAGGTCATACCTTATTAAATAAGCATTTCTTACGCGTATTTATTCTCAAATTACAGGCTTTTTCTCGCCAAAATAAATAAACAATAAAAATAATCATATTTACGCTAAACTGATTGGGATGCATGGAAATAGGCTAAAATTTTCTTATTGTGCTTGATTTTCAGTCCATGTGCAACAGGGGGCCACATTGGCACATTATGCAAACAGCTCGGTGCGCAATTACGCAAGAATATGACAGAGATGTGAAGCTTGCTTTTGTTCCAATCCTTTTTCCATGATGAAAACGTGCTTTGATTTGACCATCGACTCTGCTTTTCTACAGGACTACAGCAACAGAGGGAAACAGATGCATAAACATTTCAAGGCAGCACCAGACTCCTCCTATTCCCCACGTCCAATTAGTTCTTCTGCTCCGGCCCTTTAAGACGCAGCAGCGGGTCACCAAGTGGTGTAGTGTTTCTCTAATTGAACTTCGCCCAATCAACAATAAGTCGTTAGCAGTCGCTTTGCTTTTCTTGGTGCCTGGAAGCCTTTTTCCCCCCTTCTCCCCCTTTCAGGGATTCACCACCTCCAGTCAGCCACTTTCTAAAGATCCGCATGGAGTTTGGCAGAGGAATCGGGACGCTCTGAGGGGAATACAGCGCGGCTGCCTCTGCAACTACGCCCGAAGCATGGTTATTTTGGAGGAAGGCTCTCAGGCGAGCTAAGTTTCCAGCTTTGGACTCGAAGCATTGAGCTACAGCGGAGTTCTACCAGAGCCCCGAGCTCTAGAGGAAACGCTTGTGGACGTTTTAAATCTGCCATTTGAATGAAATAATCAACTTTTTTCCTTGAGAGCAGCGATATCTGCGGGAGTGCGATGACCTCCAGTAAAGACATGAAGGCAGGGTCTGTGCTGCAGTCCGGCGGCGAGGAGCGGAGGCGGGCTCCGCTGGACCAGTTGCCGCCGCCGGCCAACTCCAACAAGCCGCTGACGCCGTTCAGCATCGAGGATATCCTCAACAAACCCTCAGTGAAGAAGTCGGTGGCCAGCATCTGTCCGCCGCGAGTGCTGGAGAAAGTCACGGGCTCCAACGCGGCAAGAAACGGGATCAGCACTCCGTCCTCGCCTCTCTGCGCGCTGGAGGAGCTGGCCAGCAAAACGTTCAAGGGTCTAGAAGTCAGCGTCATCCAGGCAGCAGAAGGTAGCTGCGCGCTTTCCTTATTAAATTATGGATTTTCATTAAAAGCTAGAAAGAGAGCAATTTTAAAGGAGAACATGTAGGCAAAAATACTGGAGGATTGTTTTGACTTTTAATGAGGACATGCCAGGACAGCTGCATGGGAATGTGTTGGGATAAAAACGATACGTGGAAATAAGGCCTCACGTGACTTATAAACTGATAAATTCGAGTAACACCAGGTCGAGACGGCAGATAACTTATGATCAACACCATTCTGGCTTACATACAGCGCTACATTGACAGTGTGACAGATAAGCATGGCTAAGATATTAAAAGTAAAACTATAATCACTTCAAGTCAATATTCAACTATAAAAATTATTAATTTGTTGAAATTTTACTATATGAAAGGGAAAATTGTAAAAATTTTAGTTCAACTAAATTTTGCAGCATTTTTTAATTCTTTAGTATTTAAAATGATAATTTATCTTCCATCAAAGTTTGCCAAATGAACGCAAGTAATTCGGAAGAATTGCAAATTGTTTTACTTTAAATTTCAGGCAAATAGAGGTCAGCTCCGAGTTGCAGATTTTTGATTCCTCTCCCATGCTTCCCTCTCACCCCCTCCTCCAAGGTCGGGAGCACCTGAACTCCTTCGGGCAGCGGCAGACGTCGAAGAAGAGGAGAAAGTCGCGGACGGCCTTCACCAACCACCAGATCTACGAGCTGGAAAAGCGCTTCCTCTATCAGAAGTACCTCTCTCCGGCCGACCGTGACCAAATCGCGCAGCAGCTGGGACTCTCCAACGCGCAGGTCATCACCTGGTTCCAGAACCGCAGGGCCAAGCTCAAGAGGGACCTGGAGGAGATGAAGGCGGACGTGGAGTCGCTGAAGAAGATCACTCCGCAGACCCTGCAGAAGCTCGTCAGCATGGACAACATCGAGGACCCACAGGGTGGGGGCCCCGGGGCCCGGTCACCCAGCGTCTCCCCAACCTCACAAGGACACCGAGCCTTCCCACAGTCCCCCTCCTCATCCAGAGACCAAACCACGGATGAGTTTTCGGAGGATGATGAAGAGATTGAGGTGGACGATTAACAGTCAGGAGGGGACTGGAATTTTCATAAACAAGAAAAACAAAAAAGGGACTTTTTTTTTTCTTCCCAAACTTTTGCACGGATATTGATAAAAGGAGAATACACACATATGTGAACATTCGGGATAATTTTCCTTTTTTTATTTCTTCACTTTAATTTATTAATCTGACTAATAATGAATCCCTCCTGTTTAAGTTTCAATACATGAGGGACATATCTGGTTTTCTTTCAGGCAGAGCGTGGCAACATTTAAATAGAAATTATAATTTTTCAGAGGTTAATCGCCTTTAGAGGCGAAGATAAACGTTGTGCAATTATTGCTTAATGCGCCATTAATTCACATTGTCCAGTTGCCAAATATCTCAAATTAATCCTATTTTTGATTTGATTTAATATCGCCCTCTGTCCATATATTTTTTTTAAATCTCTGCAAGCGTGCAGGCCTCCTAGAGGCGCCAACCGACAACAACTGCACCAACTTCTGACCCGCTCTGAGTTCTGTATATAGATCAAACATCCTATGCGATAATTTTATTGTAACGTTCTATTTAATCAGCATCTATGTAAATAAAGGTTATATTGTATTTCAAGCAGCTTTCAGCGACACTGGATGTGTGGTTTCCCTAAAGTGGAGACAAGTGGGACATTATTGCACTATAGGAAATTAATAATGAAATATGTAGATTTTTTAAAATAATTTACAGTGCTAAGAAGCTCGTATTCTCTCCACACTCGAGGTTTTTAGCAGTTATTTAAAAACTCTGCAAAGATTCCCATCAGACAGACTGAGGAAGTTAAAAATCTTCCTCTCTCGATAAAGATGTGACTTTTGCATTCACTGACCCCTGCTATTCAGCTTTAAAGTGCCATGACTTCAATTAGCAGGCATCCACCGCCTTTATTTCCATTATTTGGGACGGCATTGAATGCATCTTGTCACAATAAGGTCCCGGTCTGTTCGCCGTGTTAAGAAAAGCTCTCGTCCAGCTCCTGCGCCATATGTTTTCTTCCTCCTTCTGTATGAATCGTCTTTAACACAACTGGTCGACATGATTGATTAGGTTAACCCGCCTTTGCCTCACATAAAACAGCTTCCACCCAGCCGTGGGTAATAATGGCCACGCATCTGCCACTCTTAACCCGGGTTTGTTTAAAAAGAGGCAGAGAAAAGGAGACAAAGTTCGCCATGAATAGCAAATGGGTTAGTGTGAGGAGCCTAATGAATAAAACCCAAAGGGAGGCGGTGGAAATAAGACGCACTGCTGCTGCTGGATGGCCATTTGCAACAGTTTTGCAGCGGGATCAAAGGTTTAGTGTGTGTTTGTGTGTGTGGGTGGAGAGGTGGGTGATCTTAGTTTTTACTGACAAAATGTTTTAGACAACTCAGCAAATATTAGATCATTTTTTCATATATATAATGTCAGATATTTTAAAACAACAAAACTAAAATTCTACTCTTTTTGGAGGACGCATATATTTTTCTTTAGAAGTGATTATTTGCATATATTTTATATGTTGCAGCAATAGGATTGTGTTACATTTATAGATTACAGAAATTGTTATACCAGAATATATTCCCCGACTTGTTTTGTACATAAAAAAGTTAAAAAATAAAATATATATAATAGTAATAATAATAATTATCTATTATTAATAGTAATAATAATAACAATAGATCGTGATACTAAGCCTTTTTTTCTAATTTTGTATGTGTGTGTGTGTGTGTGTGTGTGTGTGCGTGTGTGTGTGTGTGTGTGTGTGTGTGTGTGTGTGTATGCCAAAGCAGGCTGGTGATCACAATAGAGGTAATCGGCTGGAACCACATAGGTTGAAAAGTCAAAAAGGATTTTAATTGCTGAGTGGCAGGAAATAAGGGAGAACAATTCGTCGTTTGACGAAAAAAAAAGAAAACAACGAACTTGAATAAAAACTTATGTGTCAAAAACGTAATTTCAAAAACATTTATTTTACCAATTAAAACTATTCTACCCAACATACCTTTTAGACAGTTTAGAGTGCAAATGTGTTTTTAACCACTTTCATACTAATCTGTTAATAATAGCTTCTCATTCATTCTATAATAATATGGGTGGATTTAAAGTAAGTGAGATTTGAATAAGATTCTGCTGTAAGTGATTTTTCCATCATTAGGGTTTACGATCATAGATACACGCTCTTGAAATTATTTATTTTAGTCCAGCATCCGCTCAGCACACACCTAAAAAGGCGCAGAGCCTCAGGAGGATTATCAGAATCACTTCATTCACATGAGGGGCCTGAAGGGACATGCGCAGAGCTGCGGCTGGTGAATAATGTTCCAACCCCGACTGTTTTGTTTTCCATTTCAAGGAACCATATCGTTCTGTTCTGTTGCAATAATCAAAATTAGATTTTAAAAATCTTAGCCATCATTAAAATGTATCCTTGTGCCAAACCGGAGCAGCTTCTTAAAGAGATCTAAATCCAAACCTGTCATTTTGAAGCAATTGTTTGTAATTTAAATGTCAAACAGGCAGTGATTAATTGCGAGATATTCAGGAAACATCAAAGACAATCACACGAAATGCTGTCTACTTAAAAAGAGAAGAGACCTGGAAACATGTAGCATTTATCATCAGGCCGTGTCAAGTTATCAGAGTTCCTTCTTCCACTCTGGAGACGATCACAAACATCAAAGGTTGTCTGGAGTATGAGCAACTCCAAGTCTGCCACCTAGTGCCCAGTTAGGGGAATTATTCTAGGAAGAAAAGCAAAAGACAATATCAACGAGATTTTGTCATTACGGAGTCATGCGTTTCAAGTGTTCTCGCGAGAAACTGCTGCTCGTGAACTCTGGAGGTTTCTGAAAACTGGCAGTAAAATTTCGCCAGAGTTGAGGTGAAACAAAGCAGATAAAAAAAAACAAAAAAACCAATGCGTTTTTACACTTGGAGTTCAGTAGCCGCACAAGAAAATAGTGTTATATTCCCACAGAAACATGCAAAATTGTTGCTGAAAATTCCTGCAAATCCCATCATCTGCATGTTTGGAAAATAGCCATGATATGAATCACCCAGAGGGAAAGTTACCTGAAGAGAAACCACCACATTCATCTGTGTTTCCGATTTCAACTGAAGCTCGTCTGAACCTCTGAGGCAGTGCATGGGACAATATGACCATCTCTTAATATAAGTGAGTCAGTTGCATAATCTTCACGGATTACGGTGAAACTGTCCGTATCAGCGAGGAAACAAAAGCACTCAGAAATAAAATTTACAAACAAAGTTATGAGAGTAGGAAAACTAAAGGAGATAAAGAAAAATGTATACTAGTAAAGGTAAACAGTATGATATGGACAAGAAACTTTGCAGCTTCTCTGAAACAGACCATAAAGTTAAAGAAGGAAACTATGATTCAAAAAAATAAAAACATAACCTGCTTTGTCAAGATAGAAGCTTAGTTTTAAAGCATTTTTTAAAAATATGGACATTAGAATATATCTTTTTCATGTTCTCAGTTTCCTGTAAAAACACCAATTTATGAAACTTTAAACACTTGTAGGCTTTATAAGCCAACAGTGCTGGACTTACAGAATTAAAACACATCAAAAGGCAAATTCTGTCACATCTAAAACTGAACTCCAACTGCATGATGAACATCCCCAGCATGGTTGCAAAAAATATTGTACTTTGTAGAATTAAATGCTAACAATGTGAACTAATTTTGTAAGAGGTCATGTGGAATGAGTTAGAAGCTAGTAGTTTCTTTTCACAAACCACTTAGAGGCCTCAATAAATTAAAATATCTATTACATTTTAATTACAGTACATCAGTTCAAACACTAAAACTCACTTTGTAAAGATTCATTACACACATGCAGTGATATATTTCAGGCATTTATTTCTGTTCTAACCCTTTTGATGATAATAACTTACACAGTTCTGTGCCGCTCCACTCCTCCTTCAAATTCTGGGAACTTGATTTCTAAAGAAATCTAAACTTTACTTTAATCTGAAGAGGAATTTGGATAACTGAACATTGCAGTCCTTTTTTTCTGTCTGTGGTTTAGAAATGGCTTAACACAAATAATGGGACATTTGTAGTCCATGTTCTGGATACATATCTCTTTAAGGTCTGAATGTTCAGCCAAACCAGTTTAGACTGGGATAGTTATTCCTGTTGCACATCTTTCTTTCACTGGACCTTTCATTTGTATGCTTGCATCCATTACTTTGACCTACCAGCATCTTCAGTAAGGATCTTTAGTGGTTTACCCTCCTTGTGGAAAGTGCCAGTGACACCTTCCACCTTGAAAGTAAGTAAGCACTTACTTACTTACTTACAAGTAAGCAGGGTTCCCTATGATTGTGCAGACCATCACATTTCTGCATGAAAATCATTATGGCTTTATGACATTCAAATTCTCTGAGAAACAGAATTTGGGTAGTCAAATACTTTTAAGCCATAAAGTTATCACTTAAATAAACATAAAGATTACTCCTTGTATTTAAGTTACATATTTTGAACTTGACTGCCAATATAGGTCATCACTCATTTAATGCTATGAAAATACCGTGTATTTGTAATTCTGAGTAAACATTGATGCCTAAAATGCCAAATGTTGGAGAAACTGATATTATTCTGAAATATAATAAAAAAATTTTACTGTATAAATCATAAATCAGCAGAAGCTTGATTGGCCGTTACTGAAACACATTATGTTTAGAAGGGTCTGAGTCATAGACCACAACAATCTTTATTTTTTCCATTTCAAGTTTATTTTCAAAAATACAAAACAAGGAAAATAAGTTTATGTACACAAACACTATTAAAATAGAATATGTATTGTACAAAATATTTACAGCCGTCTCTCGACTGAAAACAAATCCTATCTGGTCCTTTTGTCTTTGATGGTGTAGTGAAGAACTAATGGCTGAGCCTGGAAGGAGAAACAACAGATATTAGAAAACTGTAATAGTTTTATTCAATTAATCCACCTCTGAGCTGCCTGTAGTCATGTTAAAGCAAATAAATAAAAGGATTAAACAGATTGTTTTTATCAAATTAGAATTTAATAGTCCAGTTTCTATTATTGGTGAAGAAAGTTCAACTAATATTCTAAGAGGTATTAACTCCAGTGTGAAGGCCTGTGTGACAGTTGTTGATGCTGCAGCTGGTGTTAGCTGCACTGTACCTTGCCAAACCAGTGTGAAAGCCATAACCGTTTCATGGTCATGTGATCAGGCAAAGACTCGTTATTAAATAACATCTGGACCTGCAGAGAGAGACCACACAGACAGATGAAGAGTAATTAGGAAGGAAAACATTTTAAAAGAGGGATTTCAGTGACAAATTTCACTTTCTGTGTCTGATTTCACACATTTGGTTCAAATATTTTGGCTGCTGGTCTCTGCTTTTTCATCAAGTGGAAGTCAGTCAGAAAATATGAACTTCAGAAAGAAACAAAGACCTTAGGAGTTTTCTCCTTATAATTTCCTCATAATTTCCTTTATGTCAAACTTTACCAATAGTTTCTGTTGCTTGATATATATATATATATATA